TTGGGTGAATTTGATGTGGATTTCACTGTTTCATTCCACTTGGGTCCGAGTTAGAGTGACAGCTTTGAGCTCTCAAAGTTTTCTTAATGAGTAACCAATCTTGTACTATTGTCATTTAACTGAAAATGCGCTATTGTTTACAGAGCTCTTGCAGACCAGCTTTGTTCTATTGTCCATGTTTGCAGTGCACTTGCAGTTGTACCTCAAATACCACTAATGCCTCAACCTGGGATCCTACACCTTGGTTTTGCTACAACAGATGAGTCACCATAAAAAAAATGTACTATTGCAGCCCCTGCTCATTTGGAAGAGGTCATCAGAGAGCAGATAGCTTGTGGTCAGCCATGGACATAGATCATGGAAGAAGATCACTGTCATTGACTCATTGCTGAGAGTGTCTAGCATGGAAGGGGGGCAATGTAAACTCCCTGAGATTATAGATGTTTGCAAAAAAATACAAGGTTTGGAGATTCTTCTTGTAATTTTCATTCAAAATTTGGCACAGATAATCTTTTTCTGCTTATCAATCTATTGATAATCTGAGTTCAAGAACAAAGATTCCCTAGTTTTGTTATGTTGCAGGTGCACAGAAACTTGCACACATCTATGAGAATAGTGATGTCTTCAGTCAGACCTCAAGAAGATGGGTTTTGAGATTCTTGGCGACACACTCTTCTGTCAAGCCCATAATAATGCTCTACAATCCGGCTAAGATTTTTGCATTTTCTAGGGAATGCCTTAGACAAAAGGTAAATAGCTAAGTTTGTTGGAATATTCTGAAGATCCAAATAGCTCTTCTGATATAGTTCTGTCAAACTGTTATTTTTTCTTGAGAAGAGTAGAATAGCATATGCACATAGGTCGATATCCATCACAATTTGCACCATAGTTTCATGCTTCCTATTTGTCATGCAACTGATAAGATAATTATATTCCATGTTCCTGTTGTTACTGTGACATTTTCTTGTGTAGTAACTTACTAAAAAAGGCTGCTTCTCTTTCAGTTTGTTGGTCAAAGGCCTGCTGAGTGCTAACCGTCTTAGCCATTTCAATAGGTATGCATCCACCCGAACTCTATCTTATCATATAATTTCTCAGTTGAGTGGTTGGTCTTATGTGAATGTTTTTTCTCTAATCCCCTAATGTGGAAGTGATCCTCTGAATGTTTTTCAGTATTGATTTGCCATTTGCTAAATTAGTGCAATCTGATTGTTGAATCTTTATGTCTTTTTGTTAATTAAACCATTAGAAGCCTGGTTGTGAGTAATTGAAACTCCAAACTCTAATCGCCCAATATAGCAGACCAATTAAAAATAGCATGAATTTTAGTATGTGTGTGTATGTGTTGCCATAATTAAAGGTTATTGAGTTGTGTTTATGCTAGATGTGAACTTAGTGTGTTTGTGGTCTTTTCTGAATGCAAGTGATTCATGCTTGACAAGATCACAAGAGCATCGGGCGTCTGGAGCAACTGCAGCTCTTGGTGCAGGTGAGCAAATAGGACATGTCCGCATGATGTCAATGCATCATCATTCCGATGATCTGATTGATGCATAGAGTAGCTGGCTTTATTGATTCTTCACGACAAACTTGCATGACTCTGGTACCAGTTGCCTTTTTATATATACCCATCTTGTCGAAGGATAGGCATTTAGGTGCCCGGAGTGCTTTTGTGTTTCATAAACCCCAAAGATATACAGATGATCATATATGCACTTCAATTTGCATTGGTAATTAAACCCCCAATTTGTTTTGCAGCTGGAACTGCTGGGATATACCTGAGCAGCGTGGAGTTGGTCCTCACGGACGTGTGCTACCCGGTGAAGCTTGGCTACGGCATGGCGGACACGATGCGGTGGCATACCTGTCGAATTTGACACCTCTGATCCCGTCCTATATCTGAGAGAACATGGCACAACAGCAGAGGGCCGGCCAGCGATGAGCGGGCAACAAAGCGCGTAGCTCTGCCCCTGCTGTTTTGAAGAACTGTTGGCTACTGTAACTATTGGTTATACTCTCTCCATGTAAAGTTATGTTTTACTCAGCTGCGCTACAGAGTAGTACTCATATAATTTTGTGAATTGCAGCTTTAATGAAACTCAAAATCTCTGTATGTTCCTACCTCTTCTAACTTGACACTCCTCTGTTCCTAGATAAATAGATTACTAGAGTTGTCTTAAGTCAAACTTTTTAAACTTTGACCGAATTTCTAGAAAAAAACGTCACAATTTATGGTAACAAATTGATATCACTTGATATACCATAGAATATATTTTTATAATGTGCTCATTTTATCTTATAGATGTCATTACTCTTTTTTATAAAGTTAGTCTGACTGGCACGGATTCTAGGGATTGATTTATTTGGGAACGGAGGGAGTATTGATTATACCCACTCAATTCTGCTTCCTGCTATGACATTTTTTATTTAGTCTAAACTAAAATAAGGTACATAGATCATGGCATTCTTAAAAAATTTATTACTCCTTCAAATTAGTATGTTGTCCATATATGTCTTTACAGTATCACCGAGACACCGAACATGTACCACTTGTTAAACATACGGGTACAGAGGATAGACACATCTAGCATGCGAATTTATAGATTTCTAGCAATAGTAGGCTAAAGTTTTTTTTTGTTTTTGTCGAGCAACCATTTGCTAAACATGGATGAGGATAAGTAGGAACTATATAGTTTTGAAAACCAATTGATTTGGTGTTAGCATCATTTCCAGCATTTGTATCTTGATTTGATGTATGTCAGGTAAACTCCTGGATTTAACTTGCACTATATGGCCGCAGTGAATGTACATATTCCTTAATAGAACGAGGATATCTTTAAATGAAAATTCATCCGTGAAAAAAACATTGCAGATGACAGACAGGTAACTAGCTCAGAGTCACTGTCGCTTGCAATAATAATACATATTGTTGATGGTGAATCTTGCCACAGACACTCAAGTGAAAATCTTATTCTATATTATATGCCTGCATGGAATAGACCACACACATTTATACGGTAAGTATAACATACTTTGTTTTAAGGTTTTGCAAAAGATTTTTTAAGACACGTAGTATTACCCATGTGACAGGCACTAATATTTACATATATGCTCGAACCTGTGTACATGATGGTATGGAGATGCGGTGGAACTTATTCGTGGATTTATTAGCGCATGAAAAAAATAGATATCAGATATTTTTTTCTGACGATATAAAACATAATCTTAGCCGCATCACAGAAAGGTCTATACAGTAGAGTTTGTGAGCCTGCGAGCCACGCTCTCCATGACCGTGTTAATTTCACGAACTTTACTTTTTGAATTAAATGTCACTTTAACATCGGTATTTAATTTCACAGTATTGTTATCTTATCGTGCGATCTGTGTATTTTTAGTACAAAAGTTTAGTTGTCCCATAGCAACGCACGGGTACGAACCTAGTTTGGGTATGTTTAGTTTCTTTCCTAGCTTTGGATGCCTATTTGATACACATGCTAGTTACTTGTTGAGACTAAAAGTTAGTCTAAATTATGTACGCTAATGCTATAATTAGAGCGTTTGGACCCCGGGAGTCCCTCCGAACACTACTTGGTCTCATGTTGTCCACGTATTGTATCAACCACACGTGAAAAAAAAAATCGATACCTCCGCCTCAAATGGCCATTCAGACTTATCCTCTATCGTTTCATCTCGTCTCTCTCTCTCTCTCTCGTTCATGTCTCCCTCAAATCACAGAGCGTCACCGCTACCTTCTTTCTCCACCCAAGCCGACCAAGCCGCCTCCTTCCTAGCTCAGTTCGCGCAGTGTCTCCCTGGCGTCTTCCCCAACCCTAGCGCCGATGGAATGCCTCGCCGCTGCGGGTGCGCCGTCGCTAGACCTTGCCGACAGCCTCTAGGTGCACATGCCGGGGCGCCTTAGGTCATCCTCGGCCGAGCCAAGGGCACCCACGAGCGCGGCTGGTGCAGGTGGTTCTCACTCGCCACCAGTTTCCACCCCAACGGCTGGAATCGACCGGTCTCGGCCTCCCCTCCTCTATTGTTTCATATGTTTCAGTGGTATGATGCAAATGTTTTATTGGATATTGCAAAAGTTGATCGTGATGTTGCACATGTTGCAAGTGTTTTAGAGGTATATTGCAAGCATTTGTTCAAAATATTTCATGTGTCTTCAGTCTTATGTTGCAGCAAGTGTTTTCATGTTGCAAGTTGCAAGTGTTTTATTTGGATGTTGCATATGTTTCACACATATATTGTAAGTGTTTTATCTGGATGTTGCGTATGTTTGCAATGGTTTTTAAGTATTTTTATATGTTTTTGCAAGTATTTCATCTATTTTCTTTTTGTATGTAGCAAGTGTTGTATCTAAATATTTCAAAGCAGATGGGGTGCATAGGATGCGCATGGGAAGCTAGAGGGGCGCGAGCGGTCCCCGCACGAGCCACGGACGGTGCGGGCCCCGTATGGGCGCAGGGACGCAGGCATGGGCGGGCGATGTCCGGTCAACGCGGGCCCTCGTGTGGACGCATGGAACGGACTGTAGCCGCGGGAGTCCAGACGCGGGCGTGTGCCTAATTAGCTATGGTTGGTAGTTGGCTAACTACTGCTTAAAGACTTGGCTAAAAGGCTAGTGCACCTGTTAGCTCTTTGGATGTACTAAAAGTTAATTTTTTAAGCTAAAAATTAGCTAGCTTTGTCTTATCACTTATCAGGCCAAGCAAGCCATTTCAGCTCCCACACAGACACACAGTGAGATAGCCCGTACTCCGGTTGGAGATCCAAACGGCTAAATATACTGGCTTTCTATTCACATCCTCGTCACTCGTCAGGCAACGAGGCAAGGCTACACACTTACACAGTGCCGAGCCCCACGAAGTTCTGGAACTCAACCGCGGTCCGCGGAGAAACCTCGCTCCTCAGTCCTCACAGCTGCCGTCCTGTCGAGCTCGGAGCTCGGAGCTCGGTGCCCTGCTTCACATCTCCCTCCCATCCGCAGTTTTCACATGTCAGGCCATCAGCACCACCACAGCCTGCACGCTCCTCCATCTCCCGGCCTCCTGCACCACATCTCCCTCCCCGTCCCCATCCGCAGTCTTCACCGTACGCGGCCTCCCTCGGTCGCATTTCGTCTGCACCTGCCCCGGCCGCCACATTCTCTCCCTTCCCCACTCCCAAAGAAACGCTCCGACCACGAAGCCGCCGCGGCTGATTTAGGGGAGGTGGGCGACGCGGTGGCAGATGATACGACAGAGGCGGAGGAGCAACTGGAGTACGGGGCAGGCGGGGTGTACACGCCGAGCGTGGGCGCCGCCGGCCTCCCGGCGCTTCTTCGCGCGGGCCGCGCAGGACCGGTCGGCGACCCGGTGTTCTTCCTCCTGACCTTCGTAGCCGTCACGGTGAGACTCGCCTGACCTGGGCTTGGCCTTTATTGGTTCCTTTCCTTTTGTGCAATAAGCTCATCGGCTGTTCTGCCTTCTGTTGTGTGTGCGGCCGGCCAGACGTCAGTAGCGTTCTTGGGCATGGTTGCCGTCGCGATTCCAACGATGCTAGTAAGTCCTCCGATACCGCTCCTAACTTAACCTGTAAAATTTGGCTCTGCGATTGCTGTTTCTACTGTGATTAATTTGCTTTTATTTAGGAATGCTGCTTTATGCTGCAATTGGTAACCATTCCAGTATTTTTTCAAAAAGATAAGTACTGATTTTACTGCTTTATGCTGCTTCACCACATTGAAGTTTGTTCATGGTGGTTAAAACTTAGGGCGTCCTCAATGGCAAATTGCAAATAGCTAGCTAGATGAGGCTCAGAAATAATAAACAAAGAATACTGTAGTGGAGAGTTACGTGAGCTGTGAGAGAGTTGTTTATGAGAGATCATGCTAGACTGGCTATTTGGGAGTCGCTAGCTATTTGATCTCTCTCCTTGATAGCCAATAGAATTCTTCCTAGACCAACTATTTGGGAACTATTGGGGACGCCCTTAAAACAGATATAAATAGTCCATCACGCTGAATTAAAGGGGTAAAGACAATCCTCCAGAATGCAATATATCTTCTATTTGGAACTAATAACAATGTTTGTCACTGGAATTAGTTGATTTGTAAGGGCTGTCAAAGTGCAAGTATCGCGTTATATCTTCTACAGTTCTACTTGGAACTAATTACAATGCAGCACCTTGTTAGTTATGAATATCAATATTTATAAGCTCGATGACTCTTTCTTTAATAACCCAGACAAATGTATTATACATTGGGCTGTGAGGTTTTATCAACTACGAACCAACTTCTTGGTGAAAAACCTCATGAAGTTAGTCCACAAGTGGTCAGAATTCCTCAAGTTTTCGTGGGTGTGGGGGTAGGGACATTGTTTCTCATGATCAAACATTCAAACTTGAATGGATTTGGAAGAAAGGAAATCAATAGTAGCAACCATAATTCATACCTGAACTTGTCTTTTCTGTTTCTCCAAAATGCAGTTGAGTTTGTTCTTGATTTTTGAATGCTCATGTAAATACCACCATCCCCATACACCCACAAATGATTTGAGAAATTTCCAATTGTTATATGCTTATTTCTGATGAGGCCACAGCTCACAGGCCAGTTGTTACTCATAAGTTTGTGCTGCTTCTGTTCGAAACAGTTTTGCCCCGTAGTGTAATCTGTATGATAGAATTTTAAGATTTCACTGCTCATCAGGCTATGAGGAGAGCTGCAAATTCATTTACCATGCTGGCAGATGCAGCTCTTGAGGAATTACCGAGTACAATGGCCGCTATAAAGCTTTCTGGCATGGAAGTCGCAGATCTTACCCTTGGACTTAGTGACTTGAGGTAAGAGTGTAAAAATGGAGTACTTATTGTGTGAAATGATGTCTAGGTTCAATATACTTTCTCACAAATATAAGCCTATCTAGGTTTGTCTTTGTCCTAAGTCAAAATTATTCTTATAACAACTTAAGATTGATAGTACCAGATGCATTACAGAAAATACTTTCATATTCTTGTATTGTTCTATATAAAATTTTAAATACTGAGGTTTGACTTTGGATAAATCTAGATGACTTGTATTTTTGATTGGAGGGAGCAGTACTCCTGTCAGCATGGGCACATTCTTTCCCTTTTTAGTAGTTCATCTTTTTTAATGTTAAAATGGGGAGCTGTTAAAGGACCCCAGTTAACATACACTGTAACACAATCATTCTAACTTCTGTTGGTTTATAGTTTCAGACATTCATAAATGCCAAAGGACCTGAATTACAGTTCATATCTTTGGACAGCAATCCTCGATGTTTGCATAGTCTATATTATGTGATATATGGATTTGGTTGGGATAGAGGGAAGAACCAGTTAGAAGGGCGGGCCTGGTGCAAGCGATAGAGTCTTACCGCCTGTGACCGGAAGGTCCCGGGTTCGAGTCGCGGTCTCCTCGCATTGCACAGACGAGGGTAAGGCTTGCCACTGACACCCTTCCCCAGACCCCGCATAGAGCTGGAGCTCTCTGCACTGGGTACGCCCTTTAGAGGGAAGAACCAGTTAGTCGCCCTCCCTCTGCAGGCTCTGACTACTTTCTAGTGTTCTTCTTGCTTGATTCTAATCTGTCTGTTTATATTGAAGCGACACCTAATAAATCCTTATCTCTAGATAACCCTATCTTAATTGCTAATTAACATCTAGCCAACTGCCAGCCCTATTAACTTGGCCATTTTCCTTTTCTGGAGGCACGCCAACCTCCTTCATGGGCCTATACTGCCCATTACATTACATGACCTCTCCAAGACCGCTTGTCCTCAAGGTGTGGTAGTGGTCAAAGTTGTTGGCCTTTGATACTCCAGAGTCAACAGATGGATGTCATGGCTCTTGCAAATGAGCAGTTGGCTGCCACAGAAGATTTATGATGCTTGATATTAGTAAAAAAAAAAAAAAAAACAGCACCCATGTGCCACCAGCCCACCATCATATGGCTGTGGTGGCCAAGCTTACTGTGGAAGCCACAGCTGTAGGTCTTGATAGCTTCGCATGACAAATGGAAGCAAGTGGTGGAGTAGCAAATTTGGGTTGTTGGACTCCTTGCAAGATTGAGAATGCAGCACTGATGGAGAGGGCTCAACAATGACTTGCTAGCCAAAAAGCCTGCACATTATGATATTGATATGCTTAGTTCCATAAAATAGTTTAGCTGAATTAACTTTAGAAGTGATTTTGATGTATTCTTTACAAAATCAAGTCACAGACTATGCACATTCAAATAGGATCTGTCATCCTAGGACGGATGGCACTAATCTTCTCTAGCGAATGGCAAAGGTGCTAGCTATTTTTCTTTAAGAAAGGCACATACCATCGTCTAACTAGTATGTGGCATATCCATTTGCAGTCATGAGATAGCAGATGGTGTCAACAAGTCAGCAAAGGTTGCGCAAGCAGTGGAAGCTGGCATGGGACAAATGCAGGACATAGCAATGTGTATGTTTTCCTGAGAGAACTTCACCATTCATGTTTACCACATTTATGCTTTATGTTTTACGTCATTCATATGCGCAGCAATGATTAAAGAGCGAGCAAGCTTGCAGACTATTCCCACTGCCGGACCAGATAATAGGTCCCATAAATCTTCTAGACAGCAGGGGCGACGAGAAAGAGGTGCAAATACCTGAAACTGAAGTATTCAATTTTCTTCAAGAGATGTATGTTCTTTTTTATGTTTTTTCCTTGCTCTGAAGTATGTACAAAATGTCTGATAGTAAGTATAAATCTTTCTTCGAGGTCATGTATGTTTTTCAAACGTTTTCTGCTTGCTCTGAATAATGTAAGTTGAGCATTGTCTGCCACGCGTTCTGTGGTGCGAAAAAATATACTTACGTAAATGCAATGTGAATGTGGTCTCTCAGATACGGATACCTACCTTTGCCCATAGCGAAAGACATGCCTGGCCTCAAAAAGAAATTTTTGCAGACTAGGTTTGCATGTCCACAAGGCCTAAACCGACATTAGGGTGACAACAAAAACTGGGCAGGTCTCTGTTCCAGCCACTGGAGTGGCAACATAGGCTCTTAAGCCTGACGCCCTAACCCAACAACTAACATAGCAAGATTGAAATTATGCAGGTCTCAGAAACCCAGGCCACCTCTTCCTTTTGGCTTCATCAGCTTCTCCCAATTCAACCGGTCAATTTTATGTTCATTTTGCTGCTTCCACCCGAACTAACCTGTCATTGTACCAAGCTCATCACTGGATTTTGTATAGTAGAAGCATGGCATGGCGTGCACTGGTTCTGTTGGCTTGTTGATTGAAAAACTACAGGGAATGGATAGAAATGGGTGTTTGGAACACAGGTGTTCCTATCACCGGAATCAAAACACATGCAAGCACTATCAGAAAACAAAAATTTCTTGGGGGTCTAGAATTTTCTTGAGTGTGCCAAAATCCAGCCGCCAAGGAATAATCATTTCCTTAAGGGTTGTATTAAACCGGTAATTTGTATCCTTGGCGGCTCCACTTGACCTCCAAGTAAATGTACAATTTTCCTTGAGTGTTATTGTGAACCACCAAGGAAAATAGCCATTTCCTTGAGTGCTATTGTAAGCTACCAAGAAAAATCATTATTTTGAAATTAATATTTTTTTATCTATTCTTCGAATGACATCGGATGGAGAAATGACATAAACCAAAGTTGTTGTACTCGAAGACATCTAAAACTGTTCGGTTCAAAAAACTCATTTGAATTTGTTTAGGGTCTCAAATATGCATTACAAAATTCACTAGAATGCATCAGACACTTAGTGATAAGTGACTAGGAGGTGCAGTGGTAAGGAAATAACCTGTGACGGCTGGGGACCTGGGGTTGTGAGTTCAAACCTTGGCAACAACAAGGGTTTTTGAGATTTTAAAACTTTTTGTTAACACGTTTTCTTGGGGTTTTGAGGCTCTCGAGAAATTATATATACTTGGCGAAAGTTTCTCTTGGCTCATAGCTCATTTTTTTCATATTTTTCTAAAAGTATAGCTTAGTAAGCCTTTGCTCTGGAACCTGGGGTTGTGAGTTCAAATCTTGGCAACAACAAGGTTTTTGAGGTTTTAAAACTTTTTGTTAACACGTTTTCTTGGGGGTTTGAGGCTATGAGAAATTATATATACTTGGCGAAAGTTTCTCTTGGCTCATAGCTCTTTTTTTTTCATATTTTTCTAAAAGTATAGCTTAGTAAGCCTTTGCCCTGGAAAGTTTTATATCATTTCATACATTCCAAACGGTGAGAGAGTCTTTTCCAAAGGAATGCAATTCCTGTACTTTTCCTCTATTTTTCCTTCAAAACCAATCGCGCCCTTAGAGCATCTCCAAGAGCCTTTCTAAATTATCATTTGGAGAGTCATTTGCATAAAAATCGCTTTGTATATCTTTTCACTCTTCAACAGTTTTTCTATATCTCATGCGCATTATAGAGAGTTATTCTTGTTTTCTATTTTTGGCTAGTGAAAAATCCGTAATAAAATATGGCTATATTTGGATGACAATTTAGAAAAGCTGTTGAAGCGTAGTTTTTCACCAAAATCTCTATTCCTAGCATTTAGGAATGATATGGAGAATCTCTTGGAGATGCTCTTAGTGTTTAGTATCTATGGTAACACCTCGAGAGATCCCATCCTCCGGTTATAGTGATCAAGGCAGGTCAACAGAGCATGTATTTTGCCTGTTTCTTTCTTCTCCATTCAATTTTTCTATTTCATGTATAAATTGATATTTATTATATATATGAAAACACTTTCCTATATATGGGTCAACTGGTTTCTGCCCTTATTTCGATCACTCTAATAAGATTCATGTTGGGACTAATCCAACAGAGGGCTCCGAACATATATGTATAAACTCCAAGTACCAAACCTTGTGGATACAACTTCCCTATATATGGTCCATAGTTTGGTTACCACTAACTTCATGTATGCCATAGTCTTTTTTTTCTAATAATTTATGTGAAGGTTGATTATTGTTTGGGTCATGTTGTCATTTTTTTAGAACTCTGGCGTGTGTCGGTTTTTGTGCAAGTAGCCCTTTATATTTCTGCAAAAAAAAAACATTATTTAACTTGGCATGGTCTTCTAGATCGATTTCGCACTGAAGGTGGCGCTTAGAATATGTAACAACTAACTAGAAATTAGAAAATCATGCCAATAAAATTTGTATAAAAATACAAATTTCATAGCACCACCTTTGTATTACTAGGCGCACGCGATCATGCCAAGTTAGCATACATAGTTGTTGATCAGAATTTACAAAGTTTGGATTTCAAAATGTATGTGCACCTTGTAATTCTGGATGGAGAGACCATGACATATATAGGTTTGCTACCATATTTTCCCAAGATCTTTTTACCACGTTACTTGAATTAGAGGTGGCCCAGGCCAGACAGCAGCGCAGAGAAATGGTGCCACAAAAAAAAGGAAGATCACGTGGGGACAAGTGGACAACGCAGGAGCAGAAAAAACACCTCATCCACATGCAGAGCCGGAGGCCCTGCCCACCTCACAATGCCACCCCAGCCTGCTCCCAAATATCCATCCAATCCATCCAATGGCAGGGAAACAAATCCTATCCCCTCCTTCGCCGGCCGTTCACTCACACTCACCTAGTCACCACATTCGTTCTCGCCGCGAGCGCGCGTGAGGTGAGTGAGACGACCACCACAGCCGACAACAATGGCCCTGGAGACGTGCTTCAGAGCGTGGGCGCTGCACGCCCCTGCTGCTGGCAGCAAGGACAGGCTCCTCGTCGTCGGCAGCAGCGGCAGCGGCAGCGGCAGTAACCTGGTGCTGCCGTCGAAGCGTGCCGCCGCCGTCGCGGTCGCGCCGCTGTCCGCCGGCCGCGTCGCCACGCGCCGGCCGCGGCACGTCTGCCAGTCCAAGAACGCCGTGGACGAAGGTAATATAGGAGGAGTACTATTTCAGACGGCAAATATGTAGATAGATAGACTGATGGCCCTCCGCCCTCCGATCCCTGTGATCGATCGATCCGTGGCTTGTTGTTGGGCATGCATGCAGTGCTGGTGGCGGACGAGAAGAACTGGGACGGGATGGTGATGGCGTGCGAGACGCCGGTGCTGGTGGAGTTCTGGGCGCCGTGGTGCGGGCCGTGCCGGATGATCGCGCCGGTGATCGACGAGCTGGCCAAGGACTACGCGGGGAAGATCATGTGCTGCAAGGTGAACACGGACGAGAGCCCCAACGTGGCGTCCACCTACGGCATCCGCAGCATCCCCACCGTGCTCATCTTCAACGGCGGCGAGAAGAAGGAGAGCGTCATCGGCGCCGTCCCAAAGTCCACGCTCACCACCCTCATCGACAAGTACATCGGCAGCTCATGAGCATGCATGAGCTAGTGACTCAGCGAGAGAGCAGCTCTCTCCTCTCTCATGTTTCATGCTATGCTATGCCCCCGAGCTGCATGGGATATTGCCATATTGGGATTGATGATGATGCATGTGAAGAACTAAATACATAAGTGTCCATACTCGCGCATATACACCAGCCATGTATCTCCTCTAGTCTTGCATACGGATATGATGATCGATGCGTTAATTAATTCTGGCAAGCAGCCGTCTGCTACTGCTCCGTTATATATATACTTCTATGTCAAATCCAAAGTACATTAATTAGTTTCAGTGCATGATTTCACTTCGTTATATGTTAATTCACATGTGTATATATTGTTGGCGATGTGCCCAGGCAATCATATCTGTTATGGATTCGTTCACAAAAAAAAAGTTATGGATTCGATCTATAAGTGGGCTAAAACATAATTCATTATCATTAGTAATAGTACCAATGGGCTTTTAATAAGGGACGGCTTTAACGTTTAAAGCTCACTAGTAGAGGTGCAATGTGCGACATTAATTAGTACCATATCGCTAATTGATTGGTGTTAAGATATGGATTCCCCCCCTATATAAATATACCAACATTCTATGGAAAGACAAACTATAGTCCTTCACTGCCTAAACCTACACCCCCTTTCTTTCCCTCTCGGCCGCGGGCCGCATGCCGGGTGCTAGCACACTGGCGCTAGCACGCGTTGTTCCATCTCCGTACGTGTGGATGCTGTGGAGAATCGTGACACTTACACTTAATCAGGCCGGCTGCAACTAGTAGCCATGGCATAGGTCGAATCCTCTGGCTCCTGAGCTTGGCTGTCATTCGGAGCAGCGTGCTGAACATAACGAGATGAGCTCGTATGTGTTGTCACACGCATACTGTCCAGAACACATCTAGCAATACTAGTGAGTAGTGATCAGTGAATGACAACGCCATGCTCATGTATACAGGTCAACCTGCTGCTATCAAGCAACAAAACGAGAGCATTCATCACAACAGGTACACAGATGAGACATCAAGATTCACACCCCCTTTAGAAAATTTTCCTGATGCTTTCCACTAGTAAATAACAGCTTATACACTACAATGAGATTCTTGGCCATCAAAGGTGGAAATAGGTACTCATGCTTTCACAACTTACGGAGAGCCATGGTACACAAGAGTACAGGAGAGAAATCATTGTCATCCAACCCGAAAAAACAGGGGAAAGATGCTCTGATCTTCCCCCAGTTTGGAATCCGCCAACACTTGCCCTAATGAGCGCGAGTGAAAGTAGGCTCTGATTCCCGGCTCTCATTTTTGTGGAATACAAAGGAACACAGCCATACAGACAGTTGTTGTGACATGTACCGATCATTGCTAATGTTTCCTTTTTGCTGTAACATGTAGCATGCACCATCAGTAAGAACCCACCGCTTCCGAGGGAGGGCAGGTTGTGGTTGTGGTTGTGGTTGTGGTTGTGGCGACGTAACTTTTGTGTTGTCAGTTATGGACCCAGCAAGGATAACTGTATAATATCAGGTGCGACCTTTCTGACTCCTGCTCACTCTACTGAGCCGACTTCCAGTCGTATTGAAGGTTATTGAAGCTGTTTGCAGCTCTAAGGCCCCCAAGCAATTGGTTTCCTAAATCTCGCTGTTGCTGCTGGTGGCTCAACTGTGTCAGGTCATGCGCACTATGATTCATCCCGGTCCTTCCATTCATTGCCAATGCATTGTTCCCCATTGCTGTTCTCATTTGTTGACCAAGGCCACCCAGAGCCCCAAATCCCATTCCATTGATTCCAGGGTTATTTGTCATAGGGTTACCAACTAAGGAGTTGACACCATTCAGACCAGGAGTAATTGTGTTTGCTCTCCTCATATCGCTTCCCACTGGTCCAACACCATTAATATGGGATTGCATCATCAAGTCATGCAATATCCTCTGGACCGAGCTTTGAGACTCATTTGGCTCAGGTTCCTGAGGTCGACTTGTAGGTGTTTGCATAGGAGGTGGGTTTGATGACATGGTTGGCGAATTCATTTGGCTTGAGTGTTGAGGAGCAGGCATCATATTGCCATTTGATGCTGAGGGTGCTGGCGGAAGGAAACGACGCTGGTCCATTTGATAGCATGGAATTCGTTGAGTTGGCCTTAGCAACTGAAGCACTGTTTCCACCATTATACAGACCATTGCCACTGCTTGTTGGATGGTCTTGTCTGCCACTTACTGAGCCTTGGAGGAGACCAACAACAGATGAAGAAGATGGTGCGGAAGTAGATGGTGCACAATTGAGTGAATTGTTTGACGTAGCATCACCATTGACAGAGGCAGAGACTTGAATTCCAGTTGCAGGAGCAGAATTTTGACCACTCTGGTTAGAATTCTGTGGAACAGGTTTCTGCTCCTCATATGGCTGCTGGGCTTGAACAGAACTAACCCCTGAATTCCCCCTCCTAGGGAATTTATGCAAGCTCTCTGGAGAAAAAAGAACATGATTGTTTATGTTAAAAACAAGCAGCAGAAAATGATTAATACCAAGGCTTGCCACATTTAAAATGTTGAACTTATCATAATAATACTATAATGCATGCCAACTCATAGCCAGTAACTATATGTTGTATGTTCAATAGCATATTTCATTAGCTTTTCATCTGGACAAAATCCTAGAGAAACTAAGATACAGAGATTTGGAAATAAGAGCTATATAAGAAACAAATGTCATGAACATTAACCGATAGAAAGTTTCCATATTTTTTAGTTATCCTGCTTCTGTGTTGGAACATCACACACATCCCTTACTAAGACAGTGTCAGAAACATGTATGCTGCAAAACACAGAAACAGAACTGTTCCAATGTGATAGGGTCATAGACGGCAGAAGATATGTGCAAGTAGGATGGTTCAAAATCAATGGTAGAACAGACAAAATCCCTAATAAAACTTGTAGCACTTGACAAATGAGAAATTAACATTGATACTGTACTTGAAGTTACAGACAACTGGAGTCAGAATTGGGTGAACTGGTACAAATAACATTTTCCTTTCTCCATATTGAACAAATTATGTTTCAAAGCAAGAATACATTAAGCAACAAAACGGGATAAAAAAGGTAAGTAATACTGCACCTATTGGACCAGACCCAGTCTGCCTGCTGTGATCGATCAAATCTTTCATACAATTGACCACCTCTGCAATCTGATTATCAATGTTTAGACAAAAGAAAAGATTAATCAGGGTGATAACTTCACTTAAATAGGAGAGTGGCATAAAAGAAGATGAAATTGGTAGCTAAATCTACATGGCCAAGTACAATGGAATCATGTGGAGTTGTGGACACAAATTGCAAGAAAGTAGAGCATAATATTAACTGAATCAAAAGTTAAACTTAAATGGAAATGCGCAAGGACTCATGAAACAGTCGGTACCTGGAGGCAGCGGACATATCTTTTCGTGTATCCTAAATCATTTACCAATGGCACTTCCAGTGCCTTAGCCAACTGGCGAGCACATGCGACAAACCTAGTTCAATAATTTTGTATATATTAGAACAATTAATGCGGAGGAGTACATGGAAGTGAAAATCACACGTGCCAATACAAACAGAAATCATAACGATGGAAATAAAAGCAGCTCTCTTAATTCAGGTAACATGACATCAAATATTGGAGGTTTGTTGTCACACTTCCCCCCAGCCTAAAATACAAGGCATGCACGTATTTCAAAATTCAAACATCGTTATCTTTGACCAACAAATACTCTAATCATATGAATTTGTATTTTAATTATTTTCTAATGACCAAACTTCTGTTGCCATATATTATATATTAGCGGTCAAAGTGTGATCTTGAAGACTGTACTAGATTACAGGAGCGACAAACGTCTGTAAATATTACACAAGACCGAACTTCGCCTGGCCACGCCAGCGACTTGTATGGCAAGAAATTATAAATCATTGCTCCCGTAAACCCATGCAGGAGCTACAGCCCAAAACACATGCAGGATAGATAGTTATTACTTGTGGTGCTCATTACTGCCCTCAGCCCATTACAAAAATTCAATTCAGCAGCAACCAAGACAGAAATGCCATAATAGTTGAGAAAGGTAAGAGTAACAAAACAAGTCAGGGGCCATTAATAATGAGGCCATATTAACTACAAGGGCACCACTTGCAGCACATAAATGTCGGCTATATAGATAGCAGTATAATTCAAAAAGCTAGGTGGCTCACAACAGCATACAAAAATATGTATGTGTTCAGTAGCTTGTATACTACTCCCTCCGTTCCAAATTGTAAGACAGGCTTTTCTAAATACATTGCTTTTCATATGCATCTAGACATACTGTATATCTAAGCGCATAGCAAAAGCTATGTACTCCCTCCGTCCCAAATTACAAGTCATTCCAACTATCTTGAAGAGTCAAAACATCTCAAGTTTGACCAAATTTATATAATAAAAATAATAACATTTAAGATATCAAATAAGTATCATTAGATTCTTCATTAATTATATTTTCATAGTATATCTATTTAATGTCATAATTTTTTGTAATTCTGTCTATAATTTTAGTCAAACTTGAAATGCTTTGACTTTCCAAGAAAGTTGGAATGACTTATAATTTGGGACAGTAAAGCCAAAACTTCGTTTTGGAATGGAGTACTTGTGTCAAAGGAAGCTCAAATGTCCATAGCAACAGGTTTACTTGTTCATTGCAGTATTTTGATGCTCAAGCTCCTGCTCCTGCTCCTGCTCCCAATTGCATAGTTTCAGAATTTTTTGGCTCAACAAAATATTCCTTTGAAACAGGAACCTTGTTTCTGGTATAAGTGTATTGACTACTTCCTAAACGCAGATGGCATGCGTGCTATACAAGCAGCTTCCAACGCATACAATACATAGGATGATGTCTATGCATGTTCTAGTTAACTTAACAAAGCACCTTGAAACTCTCCATTTTGTGCAGCGTTCAAATGCAAAGAACTAGATACTCACATGCACTAATATTTTATAAAATGAAGGTTATGACATGCAAAATTCAAATCAGGACTCCAGTATCTTGTTATAAAAATATAGCAAACAGCAAATAACCAGTTCTACTATGAGGATGCAAACTATGGTTGATGTATATAGAGGTCCACCCATACAAGCACTAGAAGCACCAATGAAATAAAAGAGGCAAAATCTGCAAAGATCAAGAAACCATGTGCCACAAGTATGGATAGTTATATCAGCGTAGCATTGTGGGGAGATTGCCAGTTGGATAACTAAGATCAGAACAAAAGCTTGGCAAAAAAATTGAATTTAACAAAGAACTGGGTTAAGTTCAAAAGCATAAGCACATCAAAGAAGTGTCCTTACGAGTTACAATTGTTTTGCAAATCCTGACTAAGCTTGGCAAAAAAATTGAATTTAACAAAGAATTGGGTTAAGTTCAAAAGCATAAGCACATCAAAGAAGTGTCCTTACGAGTTACAATTGTTTTGCAAATCCTGACTTGAGAGTGATGCCGAACTTTGAACGGAAGACTGATACTTTTGCACCACAGCACCAAGTTGACTGACCTAATAGAAGAACAAGGTGCATGAAATTAAGTCCATGATCAGAATCACAATGCAGATGAAAAAATGCACATTTCATTATCTTTGGGAAAATAATACCTGTGGTATGATTGATCTCCGAGGAATAAGTTCCTCATGACGCCGGGCACAGAACTCCCACGATGCAATCTAATGAGCACAATGTGCACAACAGTTTAACAAAATGTGTTAAATTTATCAGAACTGTAACAAACTACTCCTGTATTACATAATTATGCATCATTATAGGCCTTTTCTTCATTCACAAATGTATGTCATCCTATGTTTTGAGGTGGCTTTGCTGGTATCCCTTCCTTTAAATCCTTTTGCCTTCCACAATAAAGGGCGACAAAAAGGCTATCTTACTGCCTTCCTCTGAATTATAGCTCTATCTACGAATGAATTCATGAGTGCATGCATGCATGGGGGCATAAAAGATTGCCTAGCGTAATAAATTTCAGTAATTGCAATAATTTAGAAAAATATCTCTTTAATCATACGAGAAAGCAAAAAAAAAATTCAATGCTGCTTGATGACATTAATTAACAAGGCTAGAATGGTCCATGGTCCTTTTTGTTGGTCTAACACCCTTTTTGTACTTTGTTCCCCTTCAGTCTTTAATAAAAGCTGGGGAGCAATGCTCCACGGTCCTTATTTCAAAAAACAAGGCTAGAATGGTAATTTCAGACCAGACTATCATTCAGTTTACCCTTGAGTGCCAGACATTTTTTATGCGGGAACACCATTCCAACAAAATAACAAAATATCTCAACTAGAGAACATATTACCTTCAGGTCTTGGTTGAATACAATTCTTAGATGCCCCTCACGAACTACTCGCAGTTGCTCAAAGACACTCTCCTGGATCGCTTTGGTATAGTCCAAAACAATCTGTCCAGATGAATTCTGGGACTCTCTTGGCATATCAACATACAGAAGCTCCTCAAGTGTACCACTGGCATATTTGATTTGGCACAACCGTGGCAAGACCTCAACCGTCGTTTCTATAAAAGGTAGGATACCATCCAATTGTTAGTAGTGATGCATAATAGCACAGAAATAGAAGATATCTAGTAGGGTAGGTTTCAATCACAATTATACCCACCAAAACCTCGCCCTGGCTTCCTATTGCATATCTCACAATGCCAAACATCCTAAAACATAAAATGAAATTGTACACAGGTTAAAGAATAATCAAAAAGACCAAATTGGGGTATTCCCAAAAACATATCGCATGTAAACAAAAGACTGCATGATTGCTATTAATCAAAACAAACACTCCGGACATTAAAATTGAACTACCAGCCTATACTAATGTCAGAGAGAAAAGGTAAACCTGAGGGAAAACTCCAGTGGTTTGACGACCATTGCCATACAGAGAAACGCACCACCTCTTCTTGGCACTTGGGGCAAAGTATTCATTGACAAAGTTTCTCCAGTACTCGATGTTATTGTCCTAATACCATATCTTTAATAATAAGCATCCACCTAGGTTGCAATAATGGCAATATTTATTTGTGAAAAATGTTTACCTGTGGCCTGTTTTGCTGGTGATACATGTAATGTGTCAATCTCTTTGCACAGGTCCCTGGTTCATAAGCAGGTGTTTTACCAGTTCGCATATTTAGACTTTGTTGACGAAGCAACTGTTGGTGCTGATGTTGCTGTTGTTGCTGCTGCTGCTGCTGTTGCTGTTGCTGCAATTGGTTCCTCTGCAAAGGCAGGTTCTTGAGAATCTGCTGCTGTTGTTGCTGTTGCTGCTGCAGCTGCAAGAACCGCTGCTGCTGTTGCAGGAGGCTCAACTGAGTAGCTGCAGCCTGAGGGTTCTGCTTAGACAGCTGCAACATATGCTGCTGCTGCTGCTGTTGCTGCTGTAGGAACACAGATGGGTCTGAGCTTTGGTGCTCCATCTTGACAGCACCCAAGCTTCTCAACGCTTGCAACTGCGGCTCGAGCTTCACACCACCACTCGAACTGCGCAGCATCTGTGTGGAAACACTCTGATCAGGCTGCCCCATCTGCTGCTCCAGTTTGACCCCACCAAGGACGCCTCCGTTCTCCAACTTCACCGCAGGCTGCAGCTGCGGCTGCTGCTGCTGCTGAGTTTGTGGCATCATATGCTGCTGATTATATGCCATTAACATTTGCTGTTGCTGCTGTTGTTGATTTTGTGAATCTTGCGGTGCATCCAGCTGCTGCTGCTGCTGCTGTAAGCCGTCGGCACCAAGCTGGTTGCCCAAACTACCAGGGCCAGAGGACGAGAACACCATGGAATCGGGCCCTCCAGTGCCAACCAAATCACCAACGCCATCAAGGCCGCCTCTGTGCTGCATCCCACCGATGGGGAGACCGGCACCGCTGCCCGGCATTGCCCCGTCCCCCATTCCCATACGACTGCTGCCTGCTGAGCATGGACGCGACACTGGACGCGCCCGCCAGCAAGCCGTTCCCGACGCCACCGCCGCCGCCGCCATACTGCGTGCGCGGCGAGACGAGGGACGAGAAGGGCGACTGCGACGGGAGCACCCCGCCGCCGCCCATCCCCATCCCCATCCTGGCTGGCCACCGGCGCCAACGCCGCCACCGCCGCCGCCGCCGAGGAGGCTGGAGCTCGTCCGGAGCAGCGACGCGCCCACCACCTGCTGGCCCGGACCGCCCATCGGGTTGGGCTGCCCCGACGGCACCATCTTCCCAACAAAATCCAGCCGGGAGGAAACCGTACCTTCACTCCGCGCCGCAGGAACAACGGCCGAGATCCGCCGCGCGTCCAAGCATCCGCCGCAGCGCGGCAAATCTAGCCGAGATTGCGACTCCTCCGGTGCCAGCCAAAACCGGAGCCGAGCGGAAGCGGAAGCGGAAGCGTCTGCGCACCTCCCCCACCACCTTTCGTCCTGTACTCCAGCGGAACCAAGCCAGCGAGCGAGTAGCGGCACCGGGCAGGCAGGCAGGCCGAGGCAAGGAAGGAGGCGCGGATTAGCTAGGCAGAAGCAGGCACGGGAGGTCTCCCCTGCAGCCCCGCGTCTCCGAAAGCGAGGCGGACACCACGGAAATTACGGCCGGCGGAGACGCCGCCCGAGCGCGCCTCCTCGATCCGAGCGAGCCCGCGGCGGAATCCGGCGATCCGGGCCTCAACTCAACCCGCGCAAACGTCCCTCCTCCGGCGCTGAGGTGGCGCCGCCGGGCCGCGCCGGGGCTCCGCACTCCCGCGACGGCGACTCCACTGGACTTCCCCGCGAGCCGAGGCGAGCAGCAGTAGCAGGAGGAAGCGGAAGCGAGCGAGAGGGCGAAGGGAAGGGAAGCGGAGAGAAGGAGTAGCAGTAGAAAATCCCGCGACTCGGGTGCGTGCGTGTGTGCGCGTCCCCGGGACCCGTCCTTGCGGACGTCAAAACCTCACAACCGCATTGGATTCCGTCAAGGTCCCGCGACCGCCGCGGCGCACGCCCGCCCTGCCTCGCTTACGCGCGGGCCCTCCACGTGGCGGACCCGGTGTGGACCCCGAGGACGAGGGAGACGTTAGGCGGCGGGGCTTGCTGGGCCCGGGTACCGCTTCGCCACGCTCGCTGTTCCGGCGCTGCGGTTCGTGTTTGTGTGTGCGGCTTTGTTTTTTGTTTTCGCTTCTTCTTCTTCTTTTTCCCCCTCCCCTTCGTCTTCCCTTTCCGCCGCGGCCGCTGCCGCCCGCGCCCTGGACTGTAGCTGGGTGTGCGAGAGGCCGAGGAGTGGAGGAGAAAGCTTACGACTGATGAGAGTGGGGAAGTCAAAAGGATCCCGTGCCGCGTCGTACCCAGCGCGGCGCGCGTGGCGGCCACCGGTGCGCGGGGCCCGCGGATGGTGGGGTAAGGGGTGTCAGTGGCGTGGGGTGCGGCGGGGCGGGAGATCGGTGGCGGGCGGGCGCGGCACCGCGGGGACGGACGGTGGCGCGGCGCGTGACGGCATGGTGGGGTGTGAGTGCTGAGCAGGGATGCCTGTGCCCCTGTGCCTTTACTGGCGTCTGCCGTGTCAGTGCTGGTGATGGATGGGAGCCGTCACGTCCACCCACGCCTAGTCCTGTCGCTCGCCGTGTGAACGCGCCGCGGGCGGACGCTCACTCCACGACTCCAGCCATTATTCCTGTTACTACTACTCCAACGGTCCAAACATGTTCACTTGGTTAAAGAAGAAACGTCCACCGATATGCAAGTGCGACGTGCCACCGAGAAATTTGGGGAAAGCGATTTTGGACGCCTTTCAGCTACTGCGAGAAAACCAACAGTTAGTAGAAGGAACTATCCGTTGTTAGGAGGAACCGGAGCCGTTTCCCGTGGAGGAGCCCTCGGAGAGTCCTTTCAAATAAAGCCTTATTCAAATAATAAAGCCTTATATGGCTCTTGCACCGATTTCTCTATTGGTTCCATGGATAGACTGGCAACGCAACAGCCATACCAAATACTCTCCTACAGGCGAGTGCTTTTGATCAACGAATCATAGAGCCAAAATCGTTTTTGCGTATGGACACGGAACCATGAAAACTAACTTCACTGGAAGGGCATGTAGCTCCGAGGATTAGAGCACGTGGCTACGAACCACGGTGTCGGGGGTTCGAATCTCTCTCCTCGCCCACAGCCTTCCAAAGAGGAAGGACCTTTACTTTCTTTACGAGGGTAGAAAAATCGTGGAATTAAAATGAAATACAGATATAAGTGGTTAGCAAGGAAAGCTTTCAATTCACTAAGTGAAATATAGCTTCAAGCAAGCATGGGATTTCTAGCTAGGGAGCTCACATAGGGATGGTAATAGGGGCTGCTAGGGTTCTTTGCTTCAGCTCCAGCTACAAAAAGACCAAATAGGGCCTTCATAAGATTGACAAAACTCAACTCTTATGTCGGGATTAAAGGGAATAAGAAAACAAAACTCTAAATTATACATGGAATATGCTTCAACAGATTGAAAATCATCATCCCTTGCAAACTTGGGATCCACCTATTAGTTAGGAAAAAATATATTTTTCTCCATGTCTCTTCTTGCTAGTTAGTTGCAAGATGCGCTACCTAATTCCCTACACGCTCAGACACTCCAAAGAGGAGCTATAAGGATTATGTGCCTATGATCATATCTTTGAGTCTTGGTGATTGTGATGACAACACGAGTCTAGAATTAACAAATGCGCTAAAAATATATTAGATTGGTTTACATAGGTTCTAGCACTACGAGAAATCAAAGGGATTGAGAGATAAAGAGAGGGTTGAATTGAAGTTGTGTCACGACTTCAAGTCGTAGAGATTCTAACAAACTTTTCGAGAAGACTAAGATCAACAAAATCAAAGTCTAAAACAAGAAGATATGGCCAAAATACCAAACTATTAAAAAGCTTAAAACAATATTCATGGAAAAATGAACTGTTTGGCTAATGGGAAAATGAATGCAAAGGATTGTCCAGCCAGTGCAAAAATGAACGCATAGGATTGTCCGGCCAGTGCAAAAATGAACGTGTAGGACACTCTAGCCAAGAGAAGAAGATCATTGGATAGTTCAAGATGGAAGGGTCCTAAGAGAATATTCCTCGCCGAAGCATGTGTTTGACCATATGGTGTGAAGGAAGGAACAAGTAGATTATCCATTTCAAATACAGAGGCTTTGCCAAAAATAAAAGGCTAACTTCCTATTCATTACAAGCAAAGAGTAGTCCTACCGAAGAACAAAAACCAAGCACTGGACCGTCCGAGCAGTGGAAAAAGTTAACGGCTAGTAGCACTATATGATGCAATGGAATATCGTAGCAGTTGATCATCCGCAGCAATACGGTTTTATGGCAGACTTTTTTCAACAACTCTTTGAGTAAGATGGAGCTATATATATGAGGTTACCTTAGTTGCTTGGGTGTGCTGGAGTGCCGCAAGGCTTAAACAAGTTAGAGCAAGTATTTCTACACTTCATCCACTGCTCAAGTCATTCAAGATCACATCCAAGACTAGGATAGACAATATACCGGTCAAGAAAAGTATTTCCTCCTGTTAGGACTTATAAGCTATAACACATATAAGCATTGGTATATCCCCAGTATATCCGTAGCTAGATTGCAACGCTTATATGTACTACTTACCAACGCATAAGTATGTGTTCCCATAGACCCTTGCAACACTGGTTATTGCAACGCATAATAATGCGTTGGTATAGACCCTTGCAACGTGTATTTAAACATTTAGTAACACAAATGCGTTGCAAAATGGGTGTTCGTGAGTGTAGTGGAAAAGCACTTGAATGTGGTATACTAGAATATGGAAATGGGTTAAATCAAGAGAGGGCTGCCTAGATCTGCGAGACTCGGTAGGGCTCTTATTATTATAAAATTATGGTCAATATGATTGCTATGTATCCCACAATTAAGTGATATACTCATAGCTCTTGGAGAAGATACTTCACAAAGGGGTGAATGGACAAAAATACGTTACTATGGTTGGAGTGCTTGAGTCATTTGATTTATTTTTAGTGCTCATTTTATGCTTGAGATTCTTGGACACACAAATGAATTATTCGAGTGTTTGTAAAGAAGGGACCGATATATTCCATGCAATGTCACTTGTCAGTTTGGCAAAGAGTAAATGTAGCAAATGAGTTTGAAGCCTGGGTTTCATTTCTTCAAAAGGTTTCATTATTTTGCAACAAACATGGCATTCAAGTTCTTGGTCTCTCTGAGCCCGGTGCGCAGGCAGGCGGCACTTGGCTTGTTGACACTAGCGGTTGACACTTGTTGACACACGCACGCAAATAAATTCCCCAGACCTTCCCGTTCGAACCAATGCAATCTTAAACCAAAGGGTTGAATAAATTAAATGCTTTCCTGATTAAATCAAATTAGCTGCCAATGCAAAACACAAACGTTTTGCGTTAAAAAAAAGGTTGGCCATGATACTATACGCCAGAGTGGAATTGCCAACTTTTAATAATACTCCTAGTAGTGGGGTTTTTTTTTTGCGAATAAGTAGTGGCTTATATATCTCCTGCAACTGAAAAGAACAAAGTGTGGACATCGTTTTGGTGCGACAATTGCCTTGATTTGTCCGTCTACCACCCCATGCGATCGATCCCACCTCCCACGCTGTCCAACGGGCGAGCGAGAAAAGGAAAGGAGCGAACGAGAAAAGAAAGCCCGCGATTTGTCTCCTTGATTGAATATTGCATATTTGCAAAATAGAAAGTAGAAAATTATTGTGCTATCCATATACACATTGCATGTTTGCATACACCAGCATACATGGCAATGAGCAAAAAGAAAGAGAATTAACACAGAACGAAAGAAAATTAAGACAAAAGAAAAGAGAGAGACTGTTATCAATCATCTGCTATAAATCATGTGGCCTCGCAATAGCGCCCACCCTCGCCAGCTTAGCTCGCTCTCGCTCGCACCGGCCTCCGCCCTCGCGCCCTCCCTCGCGCCATGCTCTGACTTGTACATTTTGATTAATTGGACATTATATTTCCACGATTTATTAACGAATATTTAAACAAGATGCTCATAGATTAGCCAAACAAGCTTGACAATTTGCTTCTCAATCTTGTACTTCTACCTGTGAAAAAAATAGTTATTCTGGTGTTTCTATAATATATTAGGGCAGTCACAATGCTATACCTGTTAATTTTCATAGACACTACATATAGAAACCATGGTCCTAATGGATAGTTTCTACAGAATAATTTTTTATCCAACAACATGCATTCTCTCTTCATTATTTACCAATCACATCCCTTCATGCCTTAATTTTCGTGTAGACATGTCCCAAAAATCTGATATGTGTCATGATTTCAGAATTACATGCTACTCCCAGGGCTGGATGATGAGCAGATGGTTTCTTTGTGCCCAAACTACTTGCATGGAGCAGTGAGGTCCTGGGATCATGCATCGGGGAGATTGTATAGTTTGGAGAGGATGGTTTAGAAGCAGAGCTTGTTGAAATCGAGCATGAAATGATACTTACATGGTGTTAAAAACTTTAGACATTTAGAGGTTGACTGAAACTGGATGGTGCTTGGGAGGTAGTAAAACTGACAGCCATCGCGCCTCAATGAAGAGTTGATGATTGACTTTGTGAAGCAAATTTAAAAACCTTTGTGTTATAAGGGGGTAAAACTTGAATTTGTGGTTTCTGAACGGATAATTTCTTCTTTTGAAAGTGTTTCTAACTAATTCAGAGTGGACCAATGAATCTACGGAAAATTACTTTCTCAATTCCAACTTATATGACGCTTTGACTTTTCTAGATACATAACTTTTTTTATATGCTTAGATATACATAATTAAAACAATATATCTAGAAAAACCAAAATATCTTATAATTTTGAACTAAGAGAGAAAATTTCAATTATTATTTTATAGTGAATTAGCTTGTACCCAGACACAATGCATAAAAATGATATATTTTGAAGTTTACCTTGGACATCATCATCTTAAAAAATTAGGAAGAATCAAATGTACAATTATGATAACCTCTAATTTACTTTTATCCGTCGCTTGCAATAATAATACCTTTGATTTAACTATTTCTATATATTATTGATGGTGAATCTTGCCATAGACGCTCAAGTGGATACCTTATTCTACAAAAGATATATCTCAAGTGAAATAGTCCTAAAACCACACATATTTATACGATGAGTATAACATACTTAAGGTATTATAAGAGATTTTTCAAGACACGCAGTATTACCCATGTGACAGGAATTAATATTTATATATATACTCGAACTTGTGTACATGATGGTACGAAGATGCGATAGAACTTATTCGTTGATTTATTGGCGTACGAAAGAAATAGATATCGGAGATTTCTTTCTACCGATATAAAACATTATCTTAATCGTATCACGGAAAAATCTATACAATAGAGTTTGTGAGCTTGCGACGCCGCGCTCCGTGACTGTGTTAATTTCACGAACTTTGCCTTTTAGATTAAATATCACTTTAATGTCGATATTTAATTTTATAGTATTGTTATCTTATCATGCGATACATGTATTTTTAGTATAAAAGTTTAGCTGTCATGTAGCAATGTACGGGCACACTACCTTAATGCATATTTGTTAGTTTGGAAGGTTAACTTTCTTTGACATATTACCATTTGCAGGGTCTTAGAGCAGTAGCTATCAAACTCATACAGTTTGTTCAAACATACGATGTATCATGTGGCCATTTAAATAGACCATTTCGTTCAATACTGTTGATCAGCATATAGTTTAATTTCAGACAAGCACGACCACTAGCGGCTCAGCAAAACTGCTTTAGTTTGTTTTAGTTCTTAAGACAATTCAATTTTCAATTCTAGATTTTTTATTATTATTTTCTAACTCGTCGGAGCTATGGACCTTGTGGATGTAATTTGTCTATTGCATATGAACCTTGATGGATGTAATTTGTAATCCATTTATTTAGGCATTGTTATGAGTAGAGGTGAAAATGGTATGGATATTTTTCGACCGTATCCGAGACCGAATCCGTTTAGAAGGTTTAGATTTATCCGTATCCGAGTCCGAATATTCAACATTGGTAATTATTGGCGTACGAAAGCAATGGATATCGAAGATTTTTTCCGACCAATATAAAAACATTATCTTAGCCACGTCACGGAAAAGATCTATAAAGTAGAGTTTGTGAGCCTGCGACGTTGCGCTCTCCGTAACTTTTGTTAATTTCACACACTTTGTTTTTTTGGATTAAATGTCACTTTAACATTGATATTTAATTTTTATAGTATTGTTATCTTATCGTGCGATCCGTATGTTTTTAGTATAAAACGTTAACTATCTCGTAGCAACGCACGAACACGCTACCTAGCAGATAATAAAATAAAAAGAAACGGTATTGCCGCGATGCTAAGTTGTGTTGTCAACCTTTTCGTATAAATATGGTAACGCAACCAAGTTTTTTTCTTTCTTGCGCCTCATCAATACTTTAAGTACAAACAGCAGCCCGTTACACAAGGACAAACAAGACTGGAGTTACTACTTACTAGAAGGAAAATAAATAAGTACGGAGTAGTACAAGATTACCTGGCCGATAACTGTATATAGAAAAGAAAAGCCTGGTCTAGTGGTCTTGCGCAGAAACAGGCAAACAGCATCCCGTTACAGTTGACCAAGTCCACTGTCAAGTCAAGTTTATATCCTCTCATCGCCAACAAGCTCTCAGATAAAGTCCTTGTCTTTGACTCGCTGGACGTTGGCAAATACAGCTAATACAACTTTAGTTTTAATCACTACACCTCGTGTCTACTTCCATATATGCCCTTGTTTAGTTTGCAAAAAAGTTTTCCCAAAAAGTCTACAAAGATCCGTCACATCGAATCTTTGCAGACGCGTGCATGGGAGATTAAATGTAGATTTAAAATAAAAACTAATTGCACGCAGTTTTGTTGGAAATTACGAGACTTAACGTTTTGAGTCTAATTAGTCCATGATTGAACACTAATTACTAAATAAAAAGCGAAATTCTTCACGAGTAGCCAAATTTCAGCACTTTTCATGAACTAAACGCGCTATAAACAAACACATAGCCGGTGGTTAGTTCTACTTCTACGTTAAGATATTCTGTGCGGGGATCTATGTATACATATGTGTGTGTGCATACGTACCTTAGCAGCCTGGAACAGGAACATGGCCATGGTCCACATCCCGAACGGAAACGTTCCTGTTCTCACGTTATAAAATGATACCCTAAGTTCTCGGAATAAGAACAGGAACATGGCTGCTAAGCTACGTACATTCTTTGTGATCAATACTACATTTTCAATTGTTAAAGCCTCAAACTTTAATTACTTCTTTGATTATAATCCATTTTATAACTTCATCCAATCTTAAGCTTTCAGATACAAAGCAATTCGGAGCTGCAGATTTTTGAGGGCTGGTGATGCCACTATGGCAGTTGTCACCAGCGGACGTGCCCAGTGGTTGGATGCTTCATGTTCATGGTTGGTCACTTGGGTGATGGTTGATGATGACATTCCAACTCATTCTATAGACATAACAGACTCCTGGCCCACTGGAAACTGATGACCATACCGTGGTAGGGTGTGGCATGCAGCATGCCCACCTGGCCAAACCCCCAACGAAAAGAATCCTCTAATCAAATCCTCAAAACAAAAACAATCTTCCGCCATACATGCATGCCAATTCCATCCAGGTCCAGGTAGCTACCTGTATCTATATGTATGTACAGCCTGTTCGACGATCGTATTTGGCTTATAAGCCATAAATTTATCGATCAACGAATAAGTATTTTCTCTCACACTAAACCAAATAAGCCAATACTTTCATTCAGTGATTATAAGCCAAAACCAGCCTAAACGAACAGGACGCAGGCCGGGAACATGCAGGCTGGCTGGCCTACAGAACGCATGTGCATTGCCGACTGAACATGCCGTTCTAGCAGCCCATGGATACACTCTCAATTTAGTGGAGCACGTGAGGTGCATAACTGCATATATAACCTATTTGAGTTTTACTACTCGCAATAAGAGATTCCAATTCCAATCCAGCGAAAAAAACAGACAAAGATTCAGGCAACAGTAGACTACTATCTATATATGCCATGCCGCCATGACGCTAGCCCAGGATGCAAATGGATACAGATGATGATACTTTTCACTTTCAGAAGCCAAGTTGGGCCCCAAGACAGAAAAGCTCTCTGTGGCTCTCCTGGCTCCTGCATGTAGAAGTCTCAGGGCACCACCCCTCATCTCCTTCTCGTGCAAGCTCCCAACAATAATCTTCACCGTTGCATTGGACCACTGGTTCTCGTCACATTGATTTTTATTAAACACGCGAGCAGTACTCATTCAGTGCAGCTTCTCAACTGCCACAGCCCACAGCAGATATGGCTTCAGCTCCACACTAACTGAAGAATGTTTTCTTACATCTCTACAGACCTAAACAATTTGCAGACCATACAGATCAGCCAGCCTTCGTCAGGGCAACAGGGCAATCTGGCACACCAGTTATATCATATACCATCACACAGCATAAACAAGCACATACCAACATACGCATGCGCGCCTGAACCCCACTCAGCTATTTTTTCTTTTCAATCAAAGGCTGCTCAGGACTCAGCTATTACTACCTAAGGATCTCACAAACGACCGCCGCCACCAGACCTGGAAGCCTCTGATCAGGTCGGGGCATTCCCGGCCTTTCCCACTGAACGCCTCGAACCACTCCAAGAACAGCGCCTGCTGCTGCTTCAACGTGAGCGTCAGCAGCGCTTGCCCGATTCCTTCCTCCAGGGCCGTCATGTTGAGGCCCTTCGGGTATCTCCGGAGCCAACCGAAATCTACCAGCATTGGCCTGAACCAGGCCTGGAAGACGCGGAGCCTTCTGTCTCCGGTACAGTGGAGCTTGCCGCTCCCCATGCCGATGAACACCGTGGCCCGAAATCCGGCTGAGCTCGTGGCATACTATCGGCGACACCCGTTCGTGCATGCTGCTGAGGGTCTTTTGGTCCGCCCATAAGTCGACGAATTCCTCTCCCATCTGCCTGTCGATTAGAATCTGCAGTAACCAGTTGATGTCCTCAACTAGCTTGTAGATCCTCTCGAGTGGTCCTTTTCCAACTGACGACAGTGATGTTTGATCAGCCTGGGCCAACTCCGAAGATTCTTCGAATAATCCCACCAGAGAGTTCAGGCAAGAATGGCAGATACAGTAAATGCTCCTGCTGTCCAGCTCTTTATCACCCTTTATGTAGACAGATGATTTTGATAAGATCCCATTGACTAAATTCCGCAGCTCTTTCCGAGCATTATTGTTGGTCCCCTTTGTGATGGAATCGGCTAGTTCAACTACCAGTTCTGCAGACGAGGCAGGTCTCTCTGGCTGTAACCTTGCCAGCAAATCTCTGAAAGCTGCCTTGTATGAAGAATGCTGGTACATCAGTTTCTTAATTGTCTCCTCTTCAGATTCATTCCACGGAACAGCATCCAGATACCTTAGACAGTTGTTAACTCCTCTGTCAAACATAAGTGACAAGGATACCTAAGAAATTTGTTTAGGCATTAAGTGAAATGTGTTGAGAATAAAGTTAGCATAAACCAATACACATTTTCAGACAAATTAACAGACATATAAAAAGGGTAAAGTGAATGCGATAATGACACAAACTTCTCTTTTATAGAAGTACACTTCAAAGAATCTGCATTGACTTTAGTCTACATTTCCTGATTTCCAATCAGATAAAGTGGGTCATTATCCCCTCAAAGATCATATGGACATGTTAAAGTCGATTTATGAGCAGCATGATTGCTGTTGCAAGCCAACGGCATGATATGTAGCTTTTCACAGCAATACTTCTGAGTATACTGTTGCCATCATACATTAGTGAAGATTATGAGCGTGTCAGGTTCGAGCCCCTCGCCTAGGGAGCTCCACCAGGCAGCCGCACCTGACCCTATGCATTCAAAATAAATCGGTTGGCGTTGATTTCTGGACCAGGCATGTTTTTCTAGGGAAGGAACCAAACACGCCCTACACCTACAAGCATGAGGCAGACAGGTTCCTTTTGTTACATGGAAGCACCGAATTTTACGCTTAAGAACTGTAGCTTGAAATAGCAAATTGTCTTCTTTCTTAATGAAATGATATGCAACCCTCTTGCGTGTTTGAGAAAAAAATAGTGAATTGTCTTCTCTCTTAATGAAATGATACACCACCCTCTTGCGTGTTTGAGAAAAATAAATAGCAAATTGTACCAGATTGAAAAATAGGACTTGCTAAAGTTGCTATTATCTTGTCTTTGATTGGTGAAACTACCAAACCCAAGGAAATAGTTGTACAGTCATATATCCCTCAAAAGGCAAAAGCATAAATAGGTGGGCGTGGGCATGTGTCTAGAAAAGATGTACAAATCAGTGAACAAACTGATGGGATTTCTTAGAATGTGACGAAGTCAATTTCTAACAACAAATTCGATATTTAGTTCTTGTGTTCTTAGGGACAGGTCATATAAGGTATTGATTATCAAATCAGATTGCTGTCTTAGAATGAAGCAGTCATTTCAATTGCAATCTTAACAGTTCACTAAACACAAGTGCGTCTGTATTAAAATTAAGACAGGAATGGAAGATGATGGAAACTTAGTCAATTCAGCAGGCTACACAAACTTAAATCAACACAATAGTTACGAGTTTGCTTAACGTATATAATTTCCTAAGTGTACAAAATTAACCCGGCACCTAGTGCAAATGGAAGCAAGGGTGTAATTCCCTCAAACTTGCTTCGATTTACAGTTCCCTCAAAGTTACTTTCCAGAGTGAAATGCAAAATACTTATCTTATTGCACAGCCTCAATTATCTGACGGTCAACCTTCTGTACCATTTCAGGCAACAACCAAATTAACTAATACTCCTAGATAAGAGCCTAAGAAGCATAATTAAGAGCTTTAATTTGTCAAATAAGAGGAGCATTTCTCCCGGGGTCTGCATTTATTCTCAATAACTCAAAGAGTACCATGTTCTAGTACATGGGACGTCCATCAAATATTATAAAAGTTTAGCAAGATCCCTTTTGTCACCACATTAATGATATTAGTTCTGCATCTACAATGAAAGAGATTCGCTTCAATATAGCAAACAGCAAACACTGAAAAGTGCACAATCAACAGCGCTAGTCACATATAACAAAATTCAAAGATGCAGTATACATCTATAGGTGTAAAGGCAAGTACAAGAAATTTTGAACTTTAAGATTCTAAAACTGATAAGATGGAAGAAAGATAAAATTTTACACAAGAAAAATGGCATGAAAACAGACTGGAATTTTTGCAGCAAGAAAAAAAGAGTCACAATAATTCAAAATAATTAAAACATAAACGCTTTAATGTTTGTAAATTGAAGATGTTCCCAATGAGGAAAGTCAGGCAAAATACCAGAGCCAAAATAATTTCATCATCCATGCTTTATGTATAATGTACCCATTTAATCATCACAAGAGGCACTCAGCAAAATATGATGTAATGATGACCCAACAACGTGGTCCCATAACCAAATTTGCAAACACCAGGAATGCTATCCCCTCCAAATTCAAGGATACCAAACTGGTATTTCTCTACTATGCCAATCTCCAACAAGGCAATAACCAAACCTCTCAACATTAATATTTACCAGATTCTAAAATTAGCACCCTCCGGTCTCCACTACACTAGAATACCACCACAGTAAAAGTTAAGATGTGCAATTCATGAATACAATACAACATATAATAATCATAAGCAACAACTGTAAATATAAAGATTGAAATTTGGGCACAAATCAACAAACAGTAGCAGCGTGACAACAGAGAGCTCACCTCGAGCACGTCGATGGCTCGCGCGACACCACCACGTGCGAGCCGCCTCATCGCAGCGGCCTCGTCTTCATCTTCCAGCATCATGTCCACCGCCTCCCTGAAGGCGTCCACCTCCACCATTCCTTCCACCGTCAACTCGCCACCTCGTTCCCCAAGAATCTTCCCCACCACCTTGCTCTCCCTGCGCACCCCCTCCAACTTATCCACCTCCAAGATCACGCCTTTATCGACCAGCCTCAGCTTCAGAATCGCCCTCGGCTTCTCTACAGCGGCCGCCGCCGGCGGCGGCGGCGGTGGGGGCGGAGCCAGCAGGGCAGGAGGCGGGCATTCGGTGACGGACGACAGCCGCGCGGAAACAGACGACGAACCCGTGGCGCTAGGCAAGGTCGGGTCGTCGATGGGGGATACGCGTCCCGGGGAGCGGATGCGGCGGGAGAGCGGCGGCGGGAGCTGGTGCGCCGGCGGCTTGGCTCGCGGCGGCGCGGGGAGGGGGGCCCGGGCTCCGGCCGGCGGCGGTGGCAGCGGCCGTGGAGGGGTCAAGGCCGAAGGAGCAGCACCAGGGCTGGCGTGGCGGGGGCGCCTTGCGGCGACTCCGGCGGCGCTGCGCCGCCGCCGCCGTCGACGCGCTCATCATCGTCGGCATCGGGTTGGCGTATCAGTCGGAGGAAGCGGAATGGGAGCACGTTATGTAGGTGCGAGCTACTCTAGCTCGGAGGAGTTTTTGTTTATGTGGCGGTTTTTGCTAGGTGGCGTCGCTAAGTGCACCCAAATGTCTGGGTACATCTGATCAAAAAAAAAAAATGTTTGGGTACATGCTTGTGAATGATGATGATTGCATTTGTTTCTATGTTGGAATTGTACTATATTCTTGTGTTGGACTTATCATTGTGCAAATTGTAATGAGTATTTAGTTTATTGTTCATCGCCATAGAAAATATTAGTTGCATATAAAAGCTTTGCTCAATGAGATGTTTATGACTATAGAATTCGGTGTTTTTAGTTAGTGGATTTTTTTAAGAGAGAGATAGAGTGTGTGGAAAAAGGCATGTTTCTCATTGTTTGGAATATAAAAGAAATAAACTACTACCTCTCTTACATTTTAGTGTCCTTAAGCTAGTAATCCAAATGTATTCAATATGTCGTAGACCTAGCTTCATCTTAGAATTGATATGCACTAGTGCTTTATTTCTTGAGCAATAACTTATGCTCAATTGTGTCGGATATCGTAGCTTCTAATTAAGTTTAGATGAGGCCACTTGATACGTCATTAGTAAATTATCTTGCCTCGATTACATATCCCCCATCCTGGACTAGGGTTAGGCTAAATACTAGTTTTATACCTTTCTTGTCGTTGATTCCAAGTAAAGTGTTATATTTTAAAACTAAATGTTATCAAAATCACTCTACATGATTTTTTACTCCTTAACATGTATGCTTTTAGAGGAAATAATAATAACAGAAGTGATGTTTATGAGGAACAAGGTATAGATACCCTCAAGGAAATCACAGCGCATGGGAGTAGGTAACTAAATAACTGAATCTTGCAACTTAGATCCTACCTCCTGGTGGTTATATATTGGTAACTTCTAGGACAAGACACTAGCTAGCATATTAATACTTGCATTGTTATACTATGATTAGTAGATAAACCCAGTGTTCCAATCTCTTACTATGATTTTTTAGTTTTTTATTAAAGTATTCTAGTTTTACTATGGAGGTACTTCACAATGCTCTGGATATTAATAGTTACATTGTTTTGGCAGCAATGCTATTTTTCTAAGACCCGATCACCAAATCATCCGGCTCAAATATATATATATATATATATATATATATATATATATATATATATATATATATATATATATAGGTTGCAAGCATCCATCCTGGCATAAAAGTTTAATACTAGTGCTACCTCATAAAAAACAATTCCGGCTTACCTTATATCCGGCTTGTTCGACTTCTTTTTTTAGCCAGAACAGTGTTTTTCTCTCACAATATTTTAGCCAGAACAGTGTTTTCAGCCACTTTCAACAAGTTTCAGTAAGCTGAACGGGCCCAAAGCCACCTCGGCACTGTACCTATGCTTCCCATGAGTGAAATGGCAGTAGAATCATTAATTCGCACTGTAATGAAACGAGGATGCAATAATTGCATTATAAACAAACAAGAAATTTTCATATGAACTTTGTGTCCCCAACCAAATCGGCATGCATGACACTTCGATTTCGTCAACCATGTTGAATCTTTGGACGATTTAGGGTCTGTTTGGTGCGGCTCCCGCACAGCTCCGGCTCTGGCTCCGGCAGCGGAGCCGCACCAAACGTTGCTAAGAGGAGGAGACCTTCTAGTCAAAAACAAGTGAAGAGGAGCCATATTATGATACGACATGCGGAGCCACGAAATGGGGCTTCGACGCTCCGGCTCCGGCTCCGGCTCTGGTAGAGGAGCATGCGGAACAGAGCCCGGCCAAAAGGCCCCTTATGTGATATATCCATGGAGTATTTCAAACATGCCCGCAGTACTGTATGAGTACAGTTGGCGGGTGAACGGAGCGAGGTTGGGCCGTGGCGTCGTGCTTGCTCATAATAATAATAAAGACGATGGTGTACAGGGAAAGCGGGAAGCAAAGTTGCCGTTGCAGCTTTTGTGCGCAACGGCATGTGTTTATTTTTTTATTTTTTTATTTTTATGGCTCGATCTCCCATCGATCGAATTCGTTCGAGCCCCTGTCGGTCTGTGTCGCCCATCAGGCACATCATCATCTACTCCTCGCTTTCCTTGGGTTAAAGCGGCGAAAGCTTGAGCTTTCGTGTAGAGTAGTCTTTTCTCCTCCCATAATCCCATGGAATCAGTAATCGTTGCTAATTAATCTCACTGCCCAAAATTTCCTACCGTTGCCGCCTACACACACACACACACTCACTCATTAATCAGCCATCATGATTATTCGCGCATGCATGCCTGCGATACACTGACTCGGCTCTGCTTTTGGTGTAAACAAAACAGGCATGATGCATGTGTCTGCAGCCTCTGCCACCGTTCATGGGGGGATTAAACTAAACAAGTTGACACCAAAGTCACTAATACTCGTACTCCACCCCCAGCTTACGTCCAATATGAAGAGGAATACTAGAATTCTCTCTCTGTGGTGCAGTTCGATCACAGTCTTATTTATTATGTAACCCATTGTTGTTTGGTTGCTGAGGCTTAATTTCTCTGCGATTAGACACGGACGGAAAAAGGAATCGCGGGAGCGAAAGCTAGCTAGGAGTGGCTTCAAAGCAAGGAAGAAGCCAGCAGAAAGCGCGCACGTTTTAATAATTTATATACATTCTACTATTATACATAAATTATTATTGGGGGTGCCCGTGACAAGCGATAGCGGAGAGAGAGCGAGCGGCTGCAGCTGCACCGGGCGGCGGTGGATTCGCCAGCAGCAGACACACAGCCAGCCTCGCCGAGACGTAACGACCCGATTATATATATGGGCCCGGCCGTACAGTCTAACTGCCCAACCCCACTGATAACCAAATAATAGTAACAAGTGTTCCTCAAAAAAAAAGTAACAAGTAACCTAATGACACAACGGTGGATCTTGATTAATCAAATAAGGGTCTGTTTGGATCCACCCAATAACTAAAGTTTAGCTAGCTACGGTTTCATTGCTAAACCTTTAGCCAGCCAAACGTTCTCCCAACTAAAGGGGACTTAGCTAAATTTTAGTTGAGTTTAGCTGGATTGGAGCAGTTAAATTCAGCTAAACTGTAGCTGGTTTTTTCGCTGGACCGTTTGAATCTTAGCAACTAGAATTTAGTTGGTGAATCCAAACAGATCCTAGCTAGTCCAGCCAGCGTGTGCCCATGCGACGACAGACAGTCCATGGATCGGATAAGCTACCTCTAGCTTAACTAACTGCGCCGCCAATGCCCATGCACGAAGAAAATTTTTGTCACGGGCGCCCGGCCGGGGGATACGATGGGATGGGATACCAACATCGTGGTGCGGCAGCGCATGCAGGCCTGATAGATGAAGAGGAGGAGGAGCCGGTGCACCAAACAGCTGCTGGCGGTTGCATTGTGTGGTTGGCGGCCACTAGCTACTTGCAAATTACAATTAATTATTAAATTAAGCGCTTTGGTTTTTCCTTTACCTAGTTCGCCGCTTTCTCTAATTTTGTTGGTTGCATCGATAGGAAGATCATGATCGATATATATCAGATGGTCCATCATCACTTGCTGATATATAATATCGTGTGGCGGACGTACGTACGCGTGGCTCTCCGTTCCGTTTGGCAACCGCAGTTGGGCTAGCTTCTCATCATGATGACACGCCTCTTTTGCTTTGCTTTCCATTGCTTGTTGTGCAGTAGTTGTGATCGTTTCTGTGGCTTATAAGCTGGCTGATGCTGTTTTGTTGTGAGAGAAAAACACTATATCATGGCTGATACGATCAAGCGTACATACGTGGGCACCTCCGTACCTCTTCCATCCTCTGACTACTCCAATCCAAATCCATATAATAATTATTTGTATATATTGCTCTGTCCAGGAGTGTCAAGTACCAATCAACAGTTAACTAACCTGCGCCAGCAGACGAAGCACAGTATATACTGCTCGCTCCATCCTGTGATACATATAAGTAATCTAAGAAATTTTTAGTCAAAATAAAAAGCTAGCTTAGCAAAATACCATCTTGCCTCTAGCTAATTAGGACCGAGGGAGTAGTTCAGTTTCCTTAACTAATGCTTGTTGTTATGGATGACACTAAGTTTAAAACAAATCTCAATATTCCCTGCCTACAAAGATAGACAGAGGGTTGATGATGACCCAGGATACATTGTATTTTGGTACAAATTTTAAACTCTGGATTTGAGGGAGTAGATGGTGGTGATAGGAGTAGTTTATTTAGGCCGTGTTTGGCCGGGCTCCGGCTCCGGCTCCGCGGCAGCTCCGGCGGAGGAGCCGCACCAAACGCGCTGGCCGGAGGAGCCGCTTCTGCCCGTCCACCAGAGGAGCCAAAGCCCTTTTGCACGTACGGAGGAGGAGCCCGGATTTGTGGCTTCGCGGCTCTGGCTCCGGCTCCCGCAATGGAGCACCGCGGGCGGAGCCCGGCCAAAC